ACTATTTTAGCTATTTTTTTATGCAACATAATAATAAAAAATATATAGATCATTTCAAAAAGGTACATTAATAAATAAATAATTAATATAACTTTTTTTTAAGTGTGTCATTTAAACAGAAACCGAGAGTTAGTATTATTTAGTATTTATACCACTTTAGTCTAATATTACATTCATCACAATTTATTTGCAATTTGAAATTTTACATATACATTAAGAAAAATTATATATTGTTTTTTTTTTGGAGTGATTTGAGAGAGTGGAAATGAGAGAGTGGAAAAGGAAGGATTTGAAGAGAAATGGAGATAAAGTTAAAGTTGTTTGGATGAATGGAAAGTGATAGAAAAGTTTATGGGAAATTGTGAATGATTTGATTGATATGAGATATAAAAATTATAATTTTAATTGATTATTTTAAAAAATTACCGTTTTACCCTTTGTATAAAATAAGGTTCAAATAATTATAAATATAATTTTTTAATTAATTATCCATATTTTAACATTGATTATATATTTAAAAGAAAAAACAAATTTAAAAGTATTTGTAATTGGAAACAAATTTAAAAAATTAACTTTTTTTAGATAGTTATTAAATATTATATAAATAAACAATTACAAAATTATGTACATTGCATATCCATATTCAAATAATGTTGACATATTAAAAAATAAATTTTACTAATAATTAAATAATTATAAAATATAAAATAATAATTAATATTGATCTGATAATAACAAATAATTATGAAAACTAATAATATAATTGTACATTATTATTTAAAACAAATATAAAATACAAGTGAAAATAGAATAATAATTAAAGGAAAGATTACTAAAATTATAAATCTATGCACACTAATGCTCTTCAAACAAATAATTATAATGTTATCCATATTTTGCGATCAAGTCCTCCAGTTCAGATCATTCAATCACCTTCATTCAAGAACATGAACAACTTGGGAGAGACGAAGATGTGAGGGCAAGCCAAAAAGTCGTCTAACATGTGATGGGTGAGTACACAAATGATTATAACATCGAAGCATAAGTTGCTCGTCATTTAGGTTCATGCCGACTAACATGTCCCATATATCTGACTCCGAATGTTGAAATGTTGATGATCGTCTCATCACATTAACTTGCTCATTAATTAAATCATTTCTGCGTTCAATGGCGACCACCTGTATTTCAGCTATGTCAAATAATCGTTGGGTGATTGTATTACCTTGCCCGAGGTAATCTGTAAATGTGTCCAGCCTCGTTGTTAGTTTTTCAAATTGACCTTCCATCACATCAACCATAGGCGCTTTTCTTTTTGTGCCCCGAGATGAAGAGGTTCCACCTGAATCAGTAGACGCAACAGATAGAATTGAGTGAGCACCCTCGCCAGGATCGTCGGAACCCATGCGTGGAGGTGATCGATAAGCTGTATCAAATCCTACATCAAAGCCAAAGTGAAATGGTCGCTCCTCCAGTGTGGGGTCCACATCAACGTTCAAGTCGATTGTTGCCTTCGAGAACTGATATTCATTCGGGCTCGACGCGAAGTTCTTGCCATATGTCCAAGTGGCTCGATCAGGCACCCCACAATTCTTCCATCAAATCATAATGTCTTATAGTTGACGGTTTCCATTTAGCTGCAGAAGGCTTCGCCTACAAAATAATGAGAATGGTTAACACTCGTAATTGTTATGTTTTGCTATATCAACAAAAGATAATTCATACAATAGTACCTTAATTAGGTCATCCCATACTTCTTGCTCAGCCACAAACTGTTTTGTGATATCATCCCAAGCGAATCCACTAAGTCCATGAAACAAATCGTGGACCTCCCGCCATCTATCCTTAAGACTTTTTTGTCGATTTTTAACATTATTTTTAGTTATACCAATTAATCCGGATCTGTCTTAGGGATTCAACTATATTATTATATGCTTGGGTTGTCCAACTACCATCAACCCGATTACCCAACCTTGCCTCATCAAGCATAGTAGTCAACAACCGAAAGTCCATGTCATCAGTCCATTTTGTAAACTCGCGCACTACAGGTGACGAATTGGGTGCAATATCCTTTCCTCTGTTCATTTTAAACCTATTGGAAAGATAATATATGTAATTACGATACCAACATATAATTATTCTAAATAGATAATCGTAATGTATGAAAGTGATACTAGCAAATCAATCGATTAAAACGACTTTATATCAGCTAAAATAACTTAGGAAAGTTTTATAAGAAGGTTTTTAAGCAAATCAATCGATTAAAACGCGAATCAATCGATTGAATCACTCTCAGAAAATGTTTGTAAAATGTTTTAACTGATATAAACATGGTTGTATGAACTAAAACCATTCTGTTAAAGAAACAAGAACGCATTAATGGGTTGAAAGGACTTTTAACAGATTATAACGGCTATTTCAACAGATTAAAACAAACTTTCAACAGATTAATTAATGCAGCAGATTTGAAAATTCTCTTTAAAAACAGTTTTGCTTGAAACTTTTAAACATAGATTGAACATCAGTTTTTACACATCCAAAGCAATCAATTCAAGCAACTATTAAGCAATCAATTCAAGCAACTATTATCAGATTTGATAATCTATCAACATTTGATTTGCTATAGTATCTCTTAAGTTTGACCCTTCCCTATAATCCTCTTCCCGAACTTGAGTCGACATATTATCCACATCTTGTTCCATCAACTCTCGATCCACTTCAGCTAACAGTGATTCATCGTTGTCTATCCCTCGAAGAAAATTGTGTAGAATGCAACATGTTAGGACTATATTCGTCATTGTATCAAATGAATAATGAGGCTCTGTTCCACTAGCTATTATAGGAAATCTTTTCTTCAAAACTCCAAATGTTCTTTCAATGACATTTCTAAGAGACGAATGTCGATGGTTAAACAATTCTCGGGGTTTTGTGGAGCTCGTCGAGAATACTCTTTAAGGTGGTATCTAACGCCTCGATAAGGGGTCATTATGTTTGCTTTTAACATAAATCCAGCATCCCCCAAGTAGTATTTACCTATTTAAAATAATTGAAGTTATACTAATTAGAATATTTAAACTAGTTGACTATACACAAAATCCGCATGTTATAAATAATAAACCTTGTGGTATGATAAGGCGATCCTCTCTCGTAAGAACATCCTTTAATATTCTTGAATCAGATGTTGTTCCTTCCCACCCTGCTAGAACATATGTGAATTTCATGTCGAAATCACAAGTCGCAAATACGTTTTGTGTTGGCCAATCTTTTCTTCCACAAAAACGAGGGCATCTCGATCTTGCGACTTTAACTCGAACATGAGTTCCACCTATTGCCCCTAAACAATCCTAATGGGTAAAAAATTTATTGTCATTAAAGTTTAGACAATCTATGTGTATGTTATATAGACACAAAGTTGGTAAGTACATTACCTTAAAGTATGGGTAAAATCGGTTGTTGCTTAATATATACGGACACACATCCCTTCCTGATGGTTGAACAATTAATTGTTCGTCCAACATTATTATCGCATTCAACACGTTATGATCGATTATTTTGCCAAAATGATCGATCACTTTTCCAAAACCTGGACACTTAACATAGCGGTTCACCTCGAACCGCTATCATATGTTCACATCTGATAGCGGTTCCACAATAACCGCTATCTAAAGGCTCCGAATTTGAATTTATTTTAATGTATAATTATATATATATATATACATATTCTAAAATATAATTTATATTAATTACTGTAATATAAAATATATATTCCACAATATTACTAAAATTTATATATATATTATAGAAATGAAAATAAATTATATTTGAGAATATATAATTTTGATAGAAAATTATATAGATATATATATTCTAAAATATAATTTAACATTTTGAATTCTGAAAGGTTTTCTCTAATAACATATTAAAAAACATAATATTCAAAAAAATATTTTAAGATTCAGTCTCGGGTTGTATTTCGCTTGAGCGATTATACCTCGCTCGAGCGAAATACCATCCTGATCGATCATAATTTCAAATGATCGATCATAATTGGAAGATATCATAGCGGTTCTCTCATGAATCGCTATTTAAAGCATATATTAGATAGCGGTTATGGTTTAACCGCTATTATAAGTTGTATTTCGCTTGAGCGACATTAAACTCGCTCGAGCGAAGACACCTGCACATAATTTTCATTCTCGGGTTCTTTTTCGCTTGAGCGAAACTGATCTCGCTCGAGCGACATCCACATTTTTCGATTATGATCGACTACATTTTCAAATGATCGAACATATCTGAAAATATATAATAGCGGTTAAGATTTAACCGTTATTAGAAATGCTATATAATAGCGGTTAAGTTTTAACTGCTATTAGAAGTGCTATTATAATAAAGCAGGCGTGTTCTCATGCAGGAGATGGAGAAGGGTAAATAAGTTATTTACTATTTGATGATGTGTCTTTCTCTGCTATCCTCTCAAATCTTCAGGGTGAGCTTTCCTCCCCTCTCCCTCAAATCCGCACCTGCAAATCCTCTCAAATCACTTGCAACAAACGATTTGAATCTCTCATTTCTGTCTTCGTGAACAGTAAATCAGTTCAAACAAACATAAGCATTTACATTATACTACCCTAAGTTATAAGTAAAAAGTTAGTCAAATTAAACGAACTTATAAACAAATTTTTTTTAACTTTTAATTAATACAGTTGTGAAAGTCAAAACTACTTTGTGTTTTAAATATATGTATTATGTAAAACAAAATAATTTATTACATTGTTTAATATTTTTGTACCTACAGACAGAATATATTTATAAAGTACATTGAGTCAAAATGTTGATAGACATATATATATATATAGACGTATTTTTTGGAAAAAGATATTTTTTAATATAATAAAAGAAATATTTCACAATTTTCAAGTGGTTATGTTTCCCTTGCTTAAATTTAAGTTATTTTATATTTATAATTTATTTACTATTTTAAATATAAACTTTTCTATAGATGATTATTCACTTTTTCTTCCGCTCAATTCGAAAGAGCGTGTCATAACTCGGTCAATCTCTAATACAAACAATTTTGATATATGTTAATACTATATTTTATCTAACAAATATCAATAATCAATATCTTTAAACATGGAATAATTTCAAAACTATATATTTTGAACCATGATTTTTTATGCATGTCTATGATTTGTTTTAATAAAAATATGTTATTTTCAATATTATTGAGATACTAATTAATAAAATCCTGTTTTTTTCTTCGTAATAAAGCATTTTATATAAAAATATTTGAATAAAACGGTTGAATTATCGTAATATTTAATATAATAGCAATAATTGAAATTGTTTGCAAGGGGAAGATATCGTGTATGTTTTGCTGTGTAGGTTTAGCCCCCCGTCATCCATTTTTCTGCGTCTAGACTCTTCAGTTTTGTGTTTAGGTTGATCAGAAACCAGAGGTGTGACCTAATTCTAGTCCTAATTAATTAGTAACTCTCATAGAACTTTCGAGTCTGATCTATTACTAAATAAAAAGGAAAAACCAAACAATGCTTTAGAACATAAGTTGGTTCAATTATTAATTAAACAACCCAACGCTATACATGGTATTGGGGCGAGTTTTACGTCCTGACTTTTTTTAATTATTGTTGTTTCTATGATCTGATATATATTTTTGGAATTAGAATGTAAGTCTTTATTTTCGTTCAATTTTAAATTTTTATTTTTATTCTGTCTCAAATTTATATTATTTTAAAAAAATAATTATATTTATAATAAAATAATTTTATTATATATTTTTTATATATAAATAAATATTTATAATTTATAATTATTATTAATTAAATATATATATACTTTTTAATTTATTATATTTATATTAAAATATATATATATATATATATATTTAATTATTTTTTATTTATATATATAAAAAATATTTATATTATTATTATTATATCACTGTATTCAAATATTTAAATACTTATAATATTATTATTATTATAATACTGTATTCAAACACTTAATTATACATGTAAGTTAATTTATTTTTAAGATGTCATTAAAAATATAAAGTATATAGTTTATAAGAAAATATTTAATAAGTTAATTTTTATTTAATTAGTTCGAAATAATAAAAATTTAAATTATTAATTTTTTTTAATATTTTAAAATATAATTATTTTATTAAGATAAAATTTGATATATAATAAATAAGAATAATAAGATAAAAAATTATGATATAATAAAATTTAATAAATATAAATTATAAATAAAATAATATTAATTATTATTCAGATTTATGTAAAATATTTAAAAAATAATAACTTTTATGTTCCTCAAATTGATTAAAAAGATTAAAAAAAATTGATAACAGATATTAAAGAAATGTGAAAAAATAGAAAAAAAAGAGAGAATAATTTAATAAATTAATTGATATAAAATATTAAAAAATGAATAAAAAAAATAAAAATGATGATATATAAAAAATGATATTATATGTAATTAAAATAGAAAAATAAATATTTTTAAAATATTAATATTTTAAAATTTAAATTTGGATATAAAATGAGGACGAGAACGGGGACGAAATCGGGTAGAGATTACATCAACCATTTCCGTCCTTGTTCCGACTTTTTAAAACAGGAAAAATTGGAACCCGTCCCACACCAGATAACTCAGATTTTCCCTATCAAATTCAAAACAAAAATAAATCAATCATGACAAATATAAGTTTAATTATCATCTCCATCCAATAATAACACTTTCTTCCGATTAAATTAAACTGGGCATCCCTTATCTAGGCCATAAACAAGAGAAAAGAAACGGCTCCCCACTTCTGAATTGGGACACAGACGCCCTCTTCATAATGTATATATTATCTTCTTCTCATTTCTCATTACTTATTTCAATAACCACTTTAAAAATGAATTAGTCATTTGTTTTTATTTTGGACGGATAGTGATTTTCATAAAACTATTAATATACGCAGCAGTTCAACCTTGTAAGCTAATTAAACTAAAACGAACAGGAAAGTAAGCGTACAATGGAGGCAATAGAAAAAAAAATTAAGAGGCGTTAGGAATTTTGAATTCAAAAAACCATTGAGGATAAGTAGTTGGACTGAACGCGCACTAAATACGGTCAACACGCTTACAGACTATACCAAAGAAAATGACAACGTAAAAGACACCGACAGCTGCCTGTTTCGAGCGGACACGTGTCCTTAACCTGCTTGGGGAGGGACGCGTGTTGTTATCTGATTGGGTCGTACACTAATCAATTTGGATGTGTCTTGCGTCATGGCCTGCAATTTGCTGAAACTAACCAGTGGTTACGACAGCGATAATTAGGGGATTGATTCTGTGATTAAGAATAGTAATCAAGGTGATAGGGTGCTATATAAGGGAAAGAGAGTCTGAAAGGCTAAACCAAGAGTGGCGAGAGGTACTTATTCACCGATAAATTTTTTGTCTCTACTTCATCCTGAGCTTGCAGTTTCTGTGGTTCATCTTTCTTCTTCGTCTTCTTCTCCCTTCCCCCCTCTGTAGCACCCCGCTTCTCTGAATCCCTTTCTGTTAATCATCTGTCTTTCAAGCTAAGATTTTCGGGTTTGTCTTTTAATTCACCAAGAAGCAAACTTAGAAGGATTTCTCGGAAGCCAGGTGTTTTCAGAAACGAGATCCAGGTTTTACTGTCAAGATTCGCTAGTAAAATTTTGATTCCCTCCCCCATTTTTTTCTTTAAAACCAGCAAGAGGGTTATTTTTGATCCCTCAAAGCTTTGTCTTCTTTTTCTTTCTTTTTAAGACCCGGGACTGAAGAGATTGTCTATTTGAAATCCCCTTCACCCTTTCTTTGTAGAAAAGGTTTTTATTTTGATCTTTATTTTTTGTGCTCTGGTGTTTCAATTAACCACCTGTTCTTCAGTTTTGGAAAGACGCAGGTTGAATTAATCTGATGGCCACTATGATGGATTTTTACAGCAACACAGAGTTTCAACTTCACTCAGATCCGTTCAGGGGTGAACTAATGGAAGTTCTTGAACCTTTTATGAAAAGTCCTTCCTCAACCCCCTCTTTTTCTTCTTCACCTTCGGACTCCTCTTTCCCTTCTACTTCTTACTCTCCTTCTCCCAACTACCTTCCTTTCTCACCTTCCCTCCCTAACTTTTACTCAAACAACTGCTCTACATCGATGACCCGCGTATTTGCCGACGGGTTGTCCTTATCCAACACCCAAAACATCATAGGCTTCGGGCAGGGGCAACCAACGTCTCTTCTCGGCCTAAACCACCTAACCCCCTCTCAGATCTCTCAGATCCAGGCCCAAATCCAGATCCAAAGCCAGCAGCAGCAGAATCACAACACCCTTAGCTTTCTCGGGCCCAAGCCCATCCCCATGAAGCACGTGGGCATGCCTCCGAAGCACACGAAGCTGTACCGAGGGGTGCGGCAGAGGCACTGGGGGAAGTGGGTTGCTGAGATCAGACTCCCCAAGAACCGGACTAGGCTCTGGCTGGGAACCTTCGACACCGCCGAAGAAGCCGCTCTGGCGTACGACAAGGCCGCGTACAAACTCCGAGGTGACTTCGCTAGGCTGAACTTTCCCAACCTCCGCCACCAGGGTTCCTCCGTTGGCGGAGAATTTGGGGAGTACAAGCCGCTCCATTCCTCTGTGGACGCCAAGCTTCAGGCCATATGCGAAGGCCTGGCTGAGTCGCAGAAACAGGGAAAGACCGAGAAGCCTCAGGGTTCGTCCAAGAGGTCGCGATCTAAAGTCGCTCCTCCGCCAGAGAAGGCTGATTCCGACAAGGGTTCGGACGACTACACCAATAACAACTCTTGCAAGGTGGAAGCTTCCTCGGTCTCCGTCATAACGGAGAGCGAGGGGTCTGAAGGATCTTCGCCTCTCTCGGATCTGACATTCGCTGACATTAGCGAGCCACAGTGGAAAGGTGATTCGGATAATTTTAATCTCCAGAAGTACCCCTCTTATGAGATCGACTGGGATTCTCTGTGAAGTAGTCGTCTTTGGAAATTGGAACTCCTATCTTATATATTTGTTTTTGTTTTCTTTTAGTGAAGGTATTGGCGTCGTCTAGTATTATAGTATATTTGTAGGTGTTAGTGTCTCTCAGGTGGCTACTGCAATGGAGTTTTTGACAATTGCAGGGCCAGTGTTAGTTAAATTACTATTCTGTCAATATTTTGTATAATCTCTGTACCTTGGGTCAAAGCTGAATTTTTTCTTGCCTGACCCTTGGAGAATTAGTCCAGTTATGTCGCAAGTCTTAATGGAATTATTATATGAATATTATCGCTGTAATGAATCCACTTGCGTTTCAGCTTTTAAAATATGGATATTGTTGTGGTATCTTGGTTCTATTTGGGTGGTGATGGATGTTTTTTATACCGTACGCGTTTTGTGAAGTGGATATTCAAAACGTTAGATTTGGCATGATCGCTATCCATGATAGCCATCCGTTTGAGGGGCAAAAGTTGACGTCAATAGGCTTGCCGTCACAAATTATAGCCATACATACACCTCAATGTTTATAAAATATCTCCTTTAATAAGTAAATACTGGAAAACCAAATTTTGCTTTGCTTCTAAGGAAAATGTTAGGGTAGTCTATAGCACTGCGTTTTCAGGAATTCACTCATTGGACGGATGGCGTCGGTGACTTCTCTTTAAAATTGCATAAGAAAAAAAAAAAAGAAATTGATCAAGTGGACTAGGGATATGATTTAAATATGGATAAACAGATATGAATAAAATATAAATATCTTAGACGCAAATTTTGTGATAATGATTTAATTGCAAAAAAAAAATAAAAAATTTGTACAACTTTATCTTACCGTCTAATCCTCTCTTACTATGTCTTTTTCTTGTAAAAAAAATTGGTACAACTTTGTATTTGAATAAATCTATATGCCCCTAAAAATCTTAGTCTGAATATTGATAAGAAGTGTAGAGTTTAGGTAAAAAATGATTTATAATGGAAATATCTTTTAATAATAAAATTATAACTTAATACAACTCAAAAAATGATTTATAATGGAAACATATTTTAATAATAAAATTATAACTTATTACAACTCAAAAACGAATAATGCATTACACATGAAACTTAATCCCTGTTAACGCTATCACAAATATATTTCAATTCTCATTAATAATAACATTTTTGTTTTTTATTATAATTATTCAGGTTATTAATTATTTTCTTTAAAGATATGTTATCTTCGAGATGGAATAATTATACAAGTAAAATACAACAAAGCAAAACGCTTTCAATGTTTATCATTTTTAGTTCTCAGTTTTCTTGAAAAAAAAAAGAGTAAATTTGCACGTCATTTCCTAATGGGTAGTTATTTTAGAGATAAACGTTATCATTTTTCTTTTTTTCCAAAATATATTTTTTTATTAATCAGTAAAGTTTAACTAAGTCTACCTCTCCTATTATTAGGTGAGTGAGTTCCCTTTTTTAGGTATTTTTAAATTATTAATTTGGAGAGTCCCTTTAAATAAAGTAAACACAAATCATAATTAAAACGCGCACCAAATAAGTGTGAATTGAGTTAAGTTATAATTTGACTTGAGTGTGATTGTTATCAATATTATGCCCAATCTTACCTCATATGATAGGGCATGATATTTTGCAATTTGTGTACTATATATATTCTTATCAATAGTTACCAGGCATATTCACTTTTTTTTTTTTTTTTTACTTTGTGAGAATTTATTCCTATGCTAGTTCCAGCATTGTGAATCATGCATATTGATATTAAGAATTCTTGTTACGAATTCATTAGTCAAATTTCTCTTTATTGCCATCCTTTCTTATATGTAGTCGGTTGGAAGTAGTTTTATGAGTGAAGCAGAACCGTTGCCCAATCAAATCCAGAGATAAGAAGATAGTTGATAAGGAGAGGTTATCTAGTTCAAAAAAATAATGTGTTCTTTTATTTTATCTTTTTAAGAATTTTAAAAGCATTTCAATAAAAATTATTTAGAAAAGCTTTTATGATGAATACAAAGAATATTATATTCACGTGAGTCTTATTATAAAATTGTTTTAAAACAACAAATTCTGTAAATAAGATTATATTAAAATAATATTTTTATTCATAAATTTTTTCTAATTAATTATCATACCAGATATTCTAATTCCCCCTACCAACCACCATCGTACAATAAAATATTGAAAATGAAAATTATGTTAAACTGGTACTAATCAATTGAACTGTAGGAAGATTTACATATCGACACTGAAATTTGGGCTTTTTTGGGCTGACTCCTAAAGTTTGGGCTTTATCCTGGGCCTTCGTATGTAGGGTGGTTTATGACACTATTAACCGTCACAGGTCCAATGGAGGAATTTTGCTTGTTGTGCCATGTGAAGCTGTTTGTTTTCCTTAAGAAAATAATTTGGTAGTAAATATGATTACTTTATTTATTTTCTTTCCCACTTTCATTAAAAAGAGTTAGAAGGAGTGAGAAAGGGATGCATAATTGTAGTATAGTGTTGTTCTGATATTCACCGTGACCTAATTATAGTCTCTTTATCTATATTTCATTTTTCTTATTTTGACAAAACTTACTAAAGTAGAACAAATCTAAAAACATCTAGTTATCTATGTCAAGTGACAAAAGTTGAGCCGTTAAAACTAGAAATCATAACCTAATATTTGGACATATCCACAAATTTTCTGAACAGAAAAGGTTAACCCTTTTGCCTCTGAATTGCAGGTTATCCCCTCGTGCATGGGGCGACCCTAACATTGCTTTGACGTCCCCATGCAAAACACCCACCTCTCTACATCTCTAACAACGTCCCCAATTCCTGCCATCCCTTTTTCATTGTCACCTCCCCGCCGCTCCTCAGAGTCTCATGGAGGAGCGGTCGCAGTTGACGCCGAAGCCGTTTTTGACATCACCGTCGCCTCTCGACAACAAAGATATTAACAATGTCCAGGCATCAGAGTTCGGTTCTGGCACCTACGTTGTTCGAGTCCCCAGGGATCAGGTGTATCGTGTTCCAAACTCGGAAAATGGTCGCATCGCCGAGCTCCATAGAAACTCTCCTCCTAAGGCGGCAAAAACATCACGTTGTTGCTTGTGTTGCATATTATTCACCTTTGTCTTCTTCATCCTTCTCATTCTTCTCGGAGGTGTTTTAGGTGGTCTTTTTTCCATGTTAATCTCACCAAAAGACCCTGAGTTTTCCATTCAACACTTTGATTTAGTATCGAACAAAACCCACCCTGAATATGACATCGCTTTTAAAGCCCATAATTCAAATCCAGACGTGGGCATTTCGTATAAAGATAGAAGCCAGGTGACCCTCTCTTTAGATGGAAGAGAAATTGCAAAAGGAGAATACCCTGCTTTGCATCAAGACCCTAGACAGACAACATTGCTTGGCGTTGCTTTAAAAGGATCAAAAACTGTTCTCCCTAAGAAGGTGGAGGAAAGCGTGAAAAGTAATAAGAAAAAAGTGTCTGTCACGTTCTCCTTAGCCATTCACTCTCTAGCACGAATGAAAATGGGGTTGTTACGTAGCAGGAAAATGACATTCAACATTTCCTGCGAAGTCAAGTTAGATACGTTGGCCAATTCCACCAACATACTCTCTCAACAATGCCAAACTAAACGACACTAGCTAGCTCCTGCACTTGCGTAGATCATCCAGGTGCTTTAATTCTGCAGCTTCTTCTTCTTCTTCTTGGATAATCTTTTCGTTTCTTTTTAGTACCCAACTCCAATACGTTAGTTTCCTAAGGTTTATGTGTATAAGTAATTACAAATATTTATTATTCTCCTTCAATATATTAATGGCTTATTCTCTATTTATATGTCTATATGTTTTGATTAAAAGCTGTTAATAACTTATACATATACATGCTATTTCATATCATTTAGTTTTTACGTATTCACATTTTTTTTAATCTTTCTTATTATAGTACTTATCGTATATCTCAAACATTTAAAATCTTTTACATATACCGTATTAAAAGCATAAAGAAAGCGATAATATGGACAAAAACATCTTATATATAATCTTATTTATTAATATTATATTTATAAAGTGATTGATTTAAAATAAAATTAATTAAAAAATATTACTTTATTAATAAATGAAGTTGTTGAAAGGATATTTATTGATATTATAGTAGTATCGTTATATATATCTTTTGTGGTGGATTCAAAACCTTGGTTCTTGGTTTCAAGGCTTATTCAACCTTTATTAGTGGTGGATTCGTGTTGTCAAAAGAAAGAACTTGGAGCATGGAGAAACATTTATCTTTTGTCAGTGTTGCTCTGTTTTGAAGTGCATGTCTAGTGTAGATTGAATTGAAAGGCCTTCATGGTAGGCATAGTAGCCAATTAAAGTTCCCAAGAGGAAAATATGAGGTGGGAGAACTCTAACTCCTCCCTTTGATCCCTATTCTATTCCATATCAATTGTCTTTTTGCATCTTATATGATTCCCTATGTTGGTCACAATGGTAATGTTGGTACCAATCTATTGCTGCAAAATGCTTACTTCCAGGAACCTTGCACTGCTTCATCCCCTGTTATAATTTTGGTTCATTCTAATTAGATAAAGTTCAGATGTAATTTATAATCTTGATGTACAGTATTATTATTTTCTGCTAATTTTTTTTTTAAATTTAGCAAAATTAAAACTAATCAACCAGTGTATATTCTTCAAGTCAAGACCGAGATTATTTTTTCATTAAAACTAATCCACAATTGTGCTTCCATACTCTTTAACTTTTGTTTCTCTTAGAGCTGACTTATAATAGATGTCATTTAAAAAAATAGTTTTATTATGATCCATGAAATTTGTAGGTTTGGTTTTATTGAGGCTGTGTAGATGATAATGATGTTGAAATCTTAAATAATTTTGTATGCATTATATACAATGCATCATTGTTGTTGCATATGAATTTAAGCATGTAAACCCAGCGTTGGTAGAACTAGTGGGGCAAATGAGAATGGGCCTTAAAAGTGCATGTGTAGGAAAATCCCATATGAATTTAGGATATTGCAAACCTTGTTGTAGTGGGTCACTACTCACAACCATTCAACTTTGACAAAATCACTAAACCTTGTTACCTACATTTTTTGTTTAGATGAACCCTAAACCCTAGATCACATTGATGATATTGGAGTAGATGTTGATGCTTTAGTAGATCTGGTAACTCATGGTTGGGCCTTCAAAGTGTCTTTGGGAGATGTAGTGTGGATGGTTGAAGTGGTGTTGCTATCACACAGCAGTTATTCCTCTTACTGGTTATTGTGTAATCGAGGCAAGCTAGGAAGGGTGTTAATTTTAATAAAACAATAATAAGTAAAGTTATCAATTTTACCCAAACTTGAATGAATATATATAAACCATTGATTTCTCAGCACTTAAATTCTAAGCTCTATTACCATATACAAAATATCTTGAATATAGGATAAAAGAACTTGTTTTAAGAGTGACAACGCAAAATTGTAATGTGTTAAATCTTATTTCGAGTTATGTGACTCACAACATAATTCAATCTAAATTAAGATATAGAAACATTTTTCAGCTGGATTTCATATCTAAAAACTAACCGTTACTTTCAAAATTTTAAAAACATTAAGCATAGAATTGAAAATTTGACATGAAATAGAGATGAATGGAGTAAAATCTGTTAAGCAAAATAAATTCTCTTAATCATATTAGATAAATAATATCTTCTGTTGGATTCCTTATATTTGTTAAGCCAAATAAATTCACTTAACAATTTTTTCCTAAAGAGCTTATTTTCTATTTTTTTTATTCTTGATTCTTTTATAAATTTGGTGAAAACACATTAATTAGTTTTAGAAAAGAGTTAGATTTTTTTTTCAATTAATATTCTTTAATAATTTAAAATATTTTTTTCAATTATATATATATATATATATATATATATATATATATATATATATATATATATATATATATATATATATATATATATATATATATATACAACGAATAAAATATGTAAATAGATAAGTTAGATAAGAAGATAAAGAATCACATTATACCGGTTTGCTTTAATTAAGGAGATTTGTTTAAGGACAGTTAAAGGGTTTTAATATAATAAATAATATTACACCAAGTACAAAAAGTCATTATACCATGTCATTCGTAATGATCCATCTTAATTTTCTCCGAAAACTGATAAACATAAATATTTTTTGTAAACACTACATGAACAAGTATTTTAGTCACAAAAACAACTTTCATAAAAAAAAAAACTAAATAATGAACACTCTTAATTGAAGGTTTATATCATTAAGTGAGGTATATCAATTTTTCTTTCTTAGATCTTTAAAAAAAATATCACTATAAAGATAAAACAATAGACTAATAGGATTGTGTTACTGTTTTGTGTTCTCTTTAATGAATGAACTCTTCCTTTTTATAAGTTTTTAGATGTAATTGTTAAGAACCTAAAGTTTTATATTTTTTAAAAATATTTCTTCAATAATATAATATTTCTTTAATTTATTATTATTATTATTATTATTGCATAAAGTCTACTTTTCAATATGTCTAAATATTTTTCAGTTATCTAATTCAAATGCTTTCTATGCTTAACATGTTTCCCTTGTAAACATGAAGAAAAATATATTCTTTTTTCTATCTTAAACAAATATGATATATTTAATTTTTTTTCTTTTTAATTTACAAAGTCTAAATATATTTATTATGTTATTACTTATTTATTTTAGGATGTTTACACATTTATTCTTTTTTTTTTACATTTTGATTTTATTCATATATATATATATATATATATATTAAAAATTCACTTAATAATCCATTTTAATAGTTATTCTATGTATAACACTTTGATTTTAAATTATTAATTTATTTTTTATAATACACTTTACATTTTTTAAATATTTTAAAATTTAATTATATTTATTTTCATCCAAATCATGGTTTAATATTTGTTTCTAATAGTTTGTTCTTATATATTTTCAATGCAAGTTTCTTTGATAATTTATTTATCTATCAACAAAATTATGTGAGCCAGACTACTTATTTTTACATAATTATTTACAAAACTTAATAAACTTAGACATAGTAAAGTTTGAAAGATAGGCAAGTTTTAACAAGTAAAATAAACCATCAAGAGCTATGCATCGTGACTTTCTCAAATCTGTGACGTACCTATGTAGAGTATGATGAATGATTCTGAATTTCACGTTTTATCTTGTTGAAATACTCTGATATTGTTTTCTTGTTTGAGTTATTTTGCGTGTTTATATGTTGAAGTTGTTGACGATGGATTAATCGATCAAAAATACGAAAATGTAAACGTGTATTTGTATGACTAACTACACAATACTAAGAATCTTAATTGAATTAAAAAAATATATAAAATTTTTTGTATGCCATCATCTGATGGTAATATATTTACAGAAAAGACGAAGAGAGGAGTATTATAATATTTAACCTAAAAATTAAATATTTTATCCGAATTTTTTGCTTTTGATTCCTAAAGATTTTCTTTATGTAAATTATTGATTATGTACGATTATATAATTTAAAAATTTTGATTTTGATGATGAGACATTGTAATTAAGTAATCTTCATGGCGTGACATTATTTATTTACATGGAGGGTCATTAGTCACATCATATTTCTGTAACATGAATTGAGAGCAAGAACACAAACCATCGATTTGGAATTAGCGCAGACAAAATAAAATTCTTTCAACCAAGATATTTAAATTTAAATATAATTTTACAAGTATGAAAACGAACTTTCTTAAAAGTTAAAATTCCTTTTTCTCCTCTTTAATTAAATAAAAATATAACATCATCTATATTTTCCTTCCTGTTCTCCAAACATTGGTACTGGGCAAAAAATAGAAGATGTTTGAAATGGTAGAAAAATAATTTTCCAAAGTAAACGAATTTAAATTCCTCAGTCCATAAGCGTGAAAAGGAGAAACGAAAGGGTTGAGAAACATTCAAAAACCCTCTTATTAAGCATTCAGCGGCGTTCATACGGGTTATATGGATGAACTGTTGATGAAAAGTTGAAGCTTCTGGGGAAGGAAAGGCATTAAATCTGTTTGGCATTGTGTAGTCATCAAATTGACGACGTGGTTCCTCGTAATGGTTACATCAGTCCTTTTGAGGAGCTGGCTAGATGTCGAAAGCTATTCTATAAAGCTTTGATTATTTGTTTTTTTATGGCTAATCACCTTGTCCTTCTAAATCAACCCTCCCTCGCACACCAGAACTAAACCTTTTATTATGTAAACTAAAAATAGCCATTCTTTTGTTCCCTGCAACAACAGCAACATCCAATTATTAATTCCCAATTGTTGCTAACCAACAACTTTCCATTAATCGACCTCGTACGACGTTTCTCACATTTTGGAGCATTGCATACAAACACCATGAACAACCTCTTACACGCTCGACCCTCTATGCGGGGACCAATTCATGCCCTACGCCTCAAGCAGACACGCCTGTCACCATGAACATCCATTATAGAGTATCTCTACGGTAAAATAAAGCATTGCAGAGACCCACATGGCTGCTAGCTTGCTAGTTAATTATTTAAACGAAATAACAGAACTTGACCAATGCTTTATTATACTATAACCGTAGTTAC